TTTTTTAACTTTCACTGTTCTTTTCTTTGTTTTTCTAGTCTGAAATTCTAGTTTTCTGCCATTCTTTATTTCCTTTTGTTAGCCGCTTTTTTCTCAACCACGGCCAAAACGTTGTGCCACACATTGCCACATTGCCCGGAACATACACTGCCTCCAACAGTTTATGAAGATGAACCCTTTCTGGCCGGCTCCTACAGGGTCACCCGCTTCTTTATTCGGGTCGAAACCGTGCAATTTTAATGTGGGTTCCCCAGTGGATTTAAGCATTGCAGCCAGAGGTGTTAGTAGTTTGCAGGATAAGGGGCCAGGCCTTGCTAGTGCTCCCAATAATGTTGGTAAGGATAAAAGTTCTCAACCTGCTAATAGTTCCGATTCTGCGCAGAAAAAGCAGCAGATTTTGATCCAGCAAGCATTGCCGCAAGCATTGCCCCCTGTGGCACCTAGCAATTTACTGGTAAGGCCCTGGTTTGACTCATTCTCATCAGTGTACTCTTTTTTCTTCTACTTCGTGTTCTCTCTCTTTTTTATTCTTGGCAGGTTAGGGGTGTTTTTTTTATATATATTTACTCTGTGGATTATAACAAATATAACCTGAAGCTTAGGTTAATTTCTAATTCTTGGTATTTTTCTTTTTTTTTTTAAAGAAAATTTGAGAAACCTAGATTATTGTTGGGTGTAATTGACAAAACTGCCTGATGCTTTTCTGCTTGTATTATTATACAAAAAAATGGAGGCTTATAAAATTATTGAAGGCTCCTAAAGGGGCATTTTTTTCCTTCATAATCATTAATCATTACCCCCTCATGTAATTACCCCTACTTGATACTTGGTCAGTATTTGCTTAATCATCCCTTTATTTTATTTTTCTCTATTAAACAGGGCCCAACTTTCATTTTCCCTCTAAATCAGCAGCAAGCAGCCACCGTGGGGAAATCCACGTCGACTGTGTCAGCATCCAACATGGCCACCACCTCCTCTTCTGCACCAGCAACAGCCATGAGCTTCAGCTACCCCAACATGTCCCCAAGCGAGACCACTCAATACCTGGCGATTCTACAGAACAATGCATTCCCTCCTTTCCCCATCCCCACTGTCGGTGCCCCACCCAACTACAGAGGAGGAGCCCCCACTCAACCCATGCCTCTATTCAATGGCCCCTTCTACTCGTCCCAGATCATCAACCATCACCAATCGCAACAGCACCTGCCACCACCCAATCAGCCGCAGTTCCACCATAATGCGTCTGCACCCAATAATTCCTCTTCGGGGAAGCATATGCAGCAGAGGCCACCACAGAGTGGCGGAGCCCCGAGCCTGCAGCAGAACAGTTCTTCCTCTCACAAGTCTCATGCGTCCCACAATAATTTATCGTTGCCCATTCAGCCCCAGAATTTTGCTTTGATGACTACCCCTCCGGTCGGTTTGGGTGCTGCCGGAAGTAATCAAAACGAGAAAAAATCCCATCAGCAATCGCAACACCAGCAGCAGATAATGAAGTCTGGAGTCGAGACTCTTCCGCCTCATACGTTTGCTATGTCGTTCGGTCCCATCAATGTGACTCCTGCTGCTGGCCCAGGCATCGATAAGGCTGCCGTGGTGCAAAACCAGGCTATGTTTCAGACTTTCTCAGACGCTACTCGGCAAAGTGTCCAAATGATGCCTGTTGATGCCCAGACTACACAGAAGCTCATCCGTATTTCTGAGGAGGGTAAACCCGGAAATGTAGACTTGCCCAGGGAGGATGAGAGAAAAAGCTTTGCCTTTTCGAGATCCACGGACATGGCCAATGGGCCTGCTACCTCATGTTCAGTTCAGGGAATCACCGTGATTGATAGCTCGTCCGCGTCCATGAATGTCGGGCCTGGCTCCACTCGTGCTCCTAGGCCGACAACGACCAATGGCATGGCGGCGGCTATG